TGTGCTGTAGGCTAACGTTAAAATAATCTTATTAAAGCCACTTTAATGTCATCCCTAGCTTCTAGCTAACTCAAGTAAGCGTTTTCGCTGGCAAGTTTTGAGAAAGACGACGTAAAACGCTTTGTTACCATGACGTGAGTGACTACTATTATGTTCACGAGTGAGCACAGGTCAGGCTATCTCGATCCACTCGCCTCCCGGGGTGATGCTTAAACATCTACGTCCGGCAATAACTATAATCTCTTAAAGAATCAGTTCTGAGTGAAGTCGAACTGACCGCGTTTTTGGTTCGTCCCGACGAAGGCAAGGCATTGGAAATAAGGCTGCAAGGCCAAGCTTACGAAAGGGAGGAGTTTTGGCGTTCAGTAAAAACAGCCCTATTTAGTAAACCTTACGGATAACAGACCTATCTCCATACTGTTTATGACAGAAAACATGTTCTGCAAATAAAAGCATCCACCTTATCATTTCCAGACGATGGAAAGCATGCCTTTAACTTCACAAATAGGCTATCTGCTAGAAAGAATCGAATAATTTTCTGCGTTTGGGTAGGCAATTCTCCTTATGCAGATCTGTTTCCGTACCAATTAAACTGATAATAAGTTATGATTACCCATACCTTAAAAAAACAAGAGTTAAGTGCCTGGCTAAAAACTGCTGCAGAACCAGTCTCCATAGGTTTGGGTCTAAGGCCACGGAAAGCACCAGTGAACAAACTATTAACACACCAATGTTTGCTGGTCTATATTTAACAGAAACATTTTACTTTTAAAAATCTACTGAATATGGGAGCAATTTTGAGTGGAAACCTGCGTATCGTCCGGAATAAAAGTTGTACTCCTATCTCTACGCAGCCTTTAAATGCAAAATAATTATTTTCTGGCGGTGGAATTCCCCGGCTGCAGGCAGAGTAAAAATGGCATGCATTATTTGAAAATAGGCCTGTTTTGTATATCCTGCGATAGTGTCAGTGGGTTTGCCGCTGGGCTATTTCTGGAGCGCATTCATATGAATTATCTGCGAGGGCATTCACAGAAACATCAGATATACGTGTGCTTTCACAAAACAACATTCTTTCAAGCTGGTCTAAGTCCAAGGAAAGAGAAATCTGGGGTACTTAATTAGCGACGTACGTAGCGGTTTCACTTGGGATGTACATATACAGTCCTGTTGTGCCACAAACACAATAGTCCTCTGTACAGATAAGCCTCTAATCTACCATGTCAAAGAAAAAAAACATATCCCGTTTTCCAATGTTACACTTGATAAGACAAATGAAAGTATTTCTGTGTTGCTCACTCTCAGTTTCCTTTTAATGTAAATAAAGTTATCTGTGCCAGTATTCGTCCCACGAGATAGAAAGGTATAATGTTTTTGTTGAATACGCAACTCTGTTCACAAGATACACATACTTCAGTCGAACAGAATAAAATAATTCCAACTGCGGACGGTTTAGAGACGCGACGGCGTATCACCGTTTATGAGGAATTTTATAAATTAAGTTCACTAACTATAAGTGAACATTGGACAGATGAGCAAATAAACGTTCCTGTATGCAGGAACTTATACATAAATAAAAATAATCGTCTGAGTATTTACATATAAATGAACGCTCTGTTAATCTTTTGACGATTCTATGGCAATGCTTCATCAGGCCACTTTAGCTGTTGCTGGATCGACAACTTTTCTTTGCAATATCGGCCATATCTGTCTAAAACGTACTCATTTTTTGCACGCCATCCAATTTGACCTGTCGAAGTTAGAGGAAAGGGCATTGGCGATGGAAGCACCTTTATGGCGTCCTTAGGCTCAGCAGCTTTCTTTTTTGGTGGCAGTATGTCCTCAACTTTTGGTCGGTTTTTATCAACTAGATTGTCCAGTTCATCCTGTGCAAACTTTTTTAGTGGACCTTTCAGGAATCCAAATTTGCCGTCATAATTCTGGACATACATTCTTTCTTTCCGACAGGCATCGGCCCAGATGAAATCCCTTGAAAAGGGTGTAAGTTCATTGTTCATATCAGCATCAGCCATTTGGATGGACGTAAGGTGTTTACGCAGGATGTTATAACGGGCGCCGCTTCAATGGAATTAATTAGATTCACCTTTATTAACATCGAGAAGTCAGTTGGCCAAAGGCAATTTATTCTCGTATAAAAAAGACTGTGCATATATTTCAGCTTTTCTGAGAGAAAACTTCAGAAAAAGAAAACCTAGAATAAGAGCTGGTGTAAACATGAAGAATGTTATAAAAGTTGTTAGCTAAACAACACCGTGGGTGAACTTTTAGTGGGGAACTCAAGGGCGAAAGCCTTCTTCCCGTAATAAAGTGACTTAACACGCAACAGCCCATAATTTCGCTTCAAGTCTAACAGAATAAGGAAGGCACGAAATCTTATAAATGGAAAGTGCAGAATGATGTGTCGGTTAGGATTGCTAAATGGGGTGAAAAATGAGATGATATCGCGCAAGCTCGGTTGACATGGACGTTGATATAAACCTCTGTTAAACGTCAAATACATTCAGGGAATTGTTCGACATTCCGCTTTGACCTAAAACTGCAGACGATCAATATATATATATATATATATATATATAT